ATAAAGAATGTGGTTTTCAGTGTAATAAATTAACTTAATTATCAGGAAATAAAGCAACTTTAGTAACTATTGATTCACCAATGGGTTACACGTGGATATTCCGCATAGCAGCCAGACACAAAGCATCTCAGCTGAATAAATGCAGCTCCTCCAATGCACTCTCAAACCCTTCCAGCTGGGCATTTACTGAGGAGTGCCTGGCCTTTTCAGCTGGAAACAAAAGCTTTCGTGGACAAAGGGCTTAATAGTATTTTTTTTTTTTGTTAAAATATGGCCTTAAACAACCCATGACTCGTAAAGATCAGTTATTTTTACAGTAGGCTACAAATGCTTGTTGCATCATTATTTCCAAAACCTTTCATGTGTGTTAAGTTGTGAGGTGTTATTTCCCATCACTGAGTGTCATAGAAAAGTTAGATCCCTGTAATAACTGATGGCAGCAACAAAAGAATTATCCAAAATCCAGGCTGAGTAGCTCTCCAGCCACTTACCTCATCAAACCTTTGACATGGCCGACTGTGTCACTGTGCTGGATTTGACAAATTCATAACCTGCTAAAAGACCCAGCTTTTAATGAGAAAAGTGAATATGTAAAGACAAAGGCCCACACTGTGTCAATATCTAAAAATACAACAAATGTTAAAGCAGATCATAGTGAAGGGGTGACTTTAGTTTTAAATGCAGAGAGCCAGCCTACAGACTTCAGTTTCTTGACAGGTTGCCATGAACACACACACACACACACACACACACACACACACACACACACACACACACACACAGAGACTTGCCAGTTCTGAAATGTCACAGTATGCAAATGCTTCATAATTTAACTGACTGCTCTTACACCTTTCATCTGCCTTAAACATTCAGCTGGGCCCCCTGTGTAACAAGAGGAAAATGATTTATTATATGATGTGTGGTTTTTAAGGTTTCAATTTTAAATCCTCTGTGCTTTTAATAAGTGACAGGTAATAGACCCAAGTGCTGTCTGTATTAAATTTGTTTCAAGAGGCTGCCATTCTTAGGGTGTGAACAGTATGCACAGCCGCGGAGTAAATATTCAGCGACCAGCGAGTCTGAAAATTAATTTGGGTGGTGCCCAGTGGGCATGACTTGTTGAAACAGGGACCAGCTGGAGAGCCAATCAGTCTCACAAAAAGAAAATTACAAAATGTAAATACTGGACACTTGACACTTCAATCGACACTGTGCATATGTGTGTGTGGATGAAAAGGCAAACCTCAGACAACACTGACACCAAGTGGCTGCTTGTAGGAACTTCACCATGTAGAAGCTAAACTGCCTCATGTAGTCAGACACGTCTCATATATCAGTTACTGTTATAGTCATTACAGACCCAATTATCTTCAGCATGTTATCAGTTACAGTAAGTAGACCTGTCAACAACTTCCTGCAGCTGCTGAGCTCAGTTCCGTGCACAGGTACTAAAGGGTTCTCATATCTTCATTGCAGTTTGACTGCTGCCAAAAACTGTGCACAAACAAAGGCTGCAGTCAATTCAGGGAACTCCCAAATGTATGCCATCAGTTACTTAGAGCAAGAAATAAATACTTGTAATATTAATGTTGAGGTGATGATAAAGGCCCTACATAAATGTATATAAACTAAGATTCGAGACCTATAAAAACATGCAGAAAAGAAAAGACATCAATTTCTGTCATGTCATGGAGACCTGTCCTGAAGTTGTTGGACAAGTTGAACAAGATTGGCATCACATGTTTTCTTAGCTTTTCATAACCTTTATCCCGAAGCACTGAAAGCAGTGACCTAGAGTCACCTCTTCAGAGAATGAAACCGATGCATGAAAAAAAAAGAGCAACACACTAACAAGACTGCGTCAAAACCTTGTACAATGGAATCTGCTTATAATGATCATGTCTTTTCAGGGCAAACTGATCACTATAATCAGACAGCCATTACTACTGATTTTCTTTCCTTTTAATTTATATAAAATACCATCTAATTGACATGTGTATGTTAATTACATGGATATAAAGTCATGAAATGGGCAGCTTCACTTTTAACTGAATTTTGTTGAATGTTTCAAAGAACAGTACACCTGTTTGATTACAGGGGAATTACAGTGGTGTTACATGACAAGGCATAATCTGCATGACGAGGGCAGCTTCAACCACAGGTGCTTTCCTCATGCACATTCATTTTCTGTCTCCATCACTAGCTGGCAAGACTAGTATCAGTAGGATTCACTGAGATTACTGTTACTGCCCCAGCTAATACCCTCTCCACATGCTAACCCTCTGATGTAGTTCTATATGCAAAGGAGCATGTGTGGTCCCCTGCGTCTGATTGGCTCCTTCGTCAAAGGCGTCTACTTTCTTCAAGATGGAGACTCTGATTGGAGCAGCATCCTAGCTGGCTCCTACAATCCTATGGGTACAGCCATGACACAAGACTCTCTGTGCATTCTAATACCCATACTACTATACTATATAGTATGCCAGAAAAAGAAATTATTGGTGTGTCTCAAATCACATACTTCCGTTAGTACACTTCCATGTAGTATACTATGTGCACTATGTATTCATTGGCGGAGTGCGCGAATTTCCACAGGGTAGTGTAAACACGGCCGTTGTGCACTCACCGGATATGACAACTGCAAATTAGCTAGTTAGCAATTAGCATTTGTGTTATCGTTCAAGGTAAGAAATTTTGTATTTTGTATTGTATTTGTACAATGCAGCGGTCACGGTCGCACAGTCCTCGGCCACCATTTCCAGTTTGAAAATTGGTCCCTCCCCTTTCACTACGTAGCCAAGATGGCAACCATTGAGGGTGAGAAGTGTCCATAGTTCCACACTCAACTTCTTGACCGTTTTGAGTGCACGATCTGGGTACTCATATTTGCACTGCATTTTTCCATACTTCAAAGTGTGAACGCACTTATGCACTCAAACTATTAAGTGTAAGTACAGAAGTACGCAATTTGAGACATGTCTCAATACATAGTCAATGTCAAATGCAGTATGCCAAAAGTACTAGTATACAAGCCAGCATGCTTTACAGCTACTCCACAGGTTGTAGAAGTTACAGTTCTACAAGGTTTTAGGTCTATAAATTTAAGTTAATGTAAAGTTATGAGTTGTGGAATGCTAGGGGTCTAGATTGATACAAATGTAATGATACAAAAATAGTAAGGAGCTGCTGCTTTGAGTTCTCAAATGTTATCAGTCAATCAATCAATTCTATTTATAAAGCCCAACATCACAAATACCAATTTGCCTCAGAGGGCTTTACAACATACGACATCCCTCTGTCCTTAGGACCCTCACAGCGGATAAGGAAAAACTCCCCCCAAAAAACCCTTTAACGGGGGGGAAAATGGTAGAAACCTCAGGAAGAGTAGTCTGAGTGGGCGGAAGTTCGCTGCATAGATCAGCCTCTCATTGGGCGGAACGAGCCACCCGCTGAAGTCTCACCCTACCACCTCCGGTTGTGTAGCAGTTTTCAACCGTTTTCAACACGTCCTTTACTAACTTTTGCTGTGTTTGTTCTTGCGGGGATGTAGCCATTTTTCTGCCATGGTTTGCGTCCTGTAGCCGATATTTTTGTGGGCGTGTTACACCAAAACCTGTTTCCCCTCGGCAATATTTTTGCAAGCGCACCATTGCTGTGGCACCGCCCAGAACGACTGTGATTGGTTGAAAGAAATACAAGCAGCCGGGGCGTTTTTTTCTCCAATCATAAAGTGAGAGTCGGCCCAGCCAGACCTTTCTTTTCTTGAGAAAGGTCTGGTGAGCGAGACTACAGGAAGAGCAACTAAGGAGGGATCCCTCTTCCAGGACGGACAGACGTGCAAAAGATGTTGTACAGAACAGATCAACATGATAAATTAATAGTAATCCGTATGACACAATGAGACAGAGACAGAGAGAGATGCAGGACAGACGGTAATGTCAATAGCTTACAACATTAATTAAAGTAATAATATTATAATAATAATTACGGCTATTGTGGTACAATATGTTGAAAATATATTAATATCTGATAGTATACATATGTGAAAATAATCATATGTGTATAATAACAGTAGAAGTATGACTAATTATAACAGCAGCAGCAGGAGGCATCTGGCAGGACCACGGCAGCAGCACAACCACACACGTCACACTATCCAGACACCGCTGCGATATAAGTTAACCTGCGAGACAGTGGAGCACAAAGTCTCCGGAGAAGAAGCCGAGTTAGTGACATGCAGTATGGCCGAGTTAGCGAGATGCAGTAACAAGACATGAGTGTTAGCAAAGGAGAGAGACAGAGAGAGAGAAAGTGCTCTGTGTATTATAGGAGGTCCCCCGGCAGACTAGGCCTAAGTCAGCCTAGCTAGGGGCTGGTACAAGGCAAGCCTGAGCCAGCCCTAACTATAAGCTTTATCAAAAAGAAAAGTCTTAAGTCTAGTCTAGCACCGTCGCCTCATAGCAAGAGGGTCCACGGTTCGATCCCAGGAGGGAACCCCTCTGTGCGGAGTTTGCATGTTCTCCCCGTGTCAGCGTGGGTTTTCTCCGGGTACTCTGGCTTCCTCCCACAGTCCAAAGACATGCAGGTTGGGGATAGGTTAATTGGTGACTCTGAGCTTTGAATGTGCTAGTAAGCAGAATATTTACCTTTGGACAGAGCCAGGTTACTTCACTTGCCATGTTTGTAGCCTTTAGCTGGCTCCAGCTTCATATTTACACAAGTTATCAGGCAGAACTGGGTGCAGAGCATGGCATTTGTGTGATTGGGTGCTTCAGTTTATGTTCAAATGGATATGAGCTGATAAACACCCATGAGTCATCTACGTAAGATGCCGGTATTTAAATGTGACATTCCACAGGCTCCATGATTCATTTTAAAAACATCCTGCACTTCCTTGTGCTCAAAAATTCCAGTCCAGCAGCATGAGAGGGAACGCCCATGTGAAGGTAAGAAAGGTAACGTAATGACAAGTGACAGGAAGAAAAATTCATAGCATTACAGGACACACAACAGCAAGATCCTTTTAGCTTTTCAACATGAGCAGGCCATACTATCAAGGTAAGAGTCAGGTGTTTTTCTGTGAATGTGACATTTCAGTGGAATCATTCTTTATTTCCATTTGCATGAGAGTAATTCATATTCCTATACTTATTTTGTTTTTTTGGCACTTCCTTCTGGACATTCTTTTTTTTCAGCGTTGTCTTTATATTGTAATGAAGCATCAAAATGTCAGTCTTTTGATAGCAAATTATGAAGCTGAAAAACCATTACCCTGAATGAATTCATGTTTAATTGATAAAGGTGAAAATTTAAAAAGGTACAGGGTTTAAAATATGATATAAACTGTTTGTCTTTATCAGTATGTTATCTTAAGTGTGGGGCAGTGCCTGCCTAGCAACACGTAGTTAAGGCCTTTACACACCCAGTCCGTGTTTTTTGATTTGTTATCTGAGAAAAAAAAAAGAAACAGAAACCATGCACACTGACTTGCACTGACTGCTTTTTATTGTTCTATTCCTTGCAAAAATTTGCAATACAAGACTAAATAAAAAGACAACTGCTCTTATGCTTCTCTCTACCAGAGTTACCTTGGAGACAGTGTGCAGACTTGATTGACACAACGTGCAACAATTTTGGACAAAAAATACAAACTCGGTGTGCAATGGTGTTTGATTACAGTTTGAAATTAAGTAATAACATGACAGGCCCACCAGTACTAGCAACACTTAAGTTGCGTCAAATCGCATACTTCTGTTAGTATACTTAAATGTAGTACACTATGTAGATGTAGCCTACTCCTTGCATAGTGCACTAATTTCAACTGGGTAGTGTTGTCTCAAATCATGCAGTGATGTTTTGCAATTATCAGAAATGACAGTGGCTCTTATTTTAACCACCTCTTCTTCTTCTCCATCTTCTTTTTAAACGACAAATTGCAAATGAACGGTGAGACATTATTAACAACATTTGACTGCTATCTCCACCAAAATATAATGATTCCACAACGTCGGTATTGAATACAATGTGCTGCCGTAGCTAGGAGCAAGTTAGCTAGCTAGCAAATGCTAACATAAGTGAGCAAGCAAACATTAGCACTCGCATTATTTTTCATGGCACCAAATCATTACAGACCCAACAAACATTACCGATGGCTTCTATTTGACAACAGTAGCCTAATGGTACTTAACAAGAAAACATACATCTGTAGCCTATAATGTGGCAGCGTTCATTGTAGCCAGCTCAGACTCCTTGTTAATTGTCAATTGTTAATTGCTGCAGTGGGTTAGCCTCTACTAATAGAAGAGAAATTTGTCTCTTGGTAACTCCAAGCTTGTTTTAATAACACATTATATCTATTTAGCTGCCTTGCTAATGTTAGCCACTAGTGACTTCGTTTAGTTAGCAAGCAGGATTCACCTGCTTTTGTTCAAAGTTGTAGGGCGGCACAAATGGTTGTCACCCATTCTGTATAATTAGGATCACCCTGTATTGAAAAATAAATGCACTGTCCCTTACTGAATCAATACCAGCGTTCTGAATTACTCTATTATGAGGACCCGTCCATATGTTTACCCTGTGTACAGTGGTAGTAGCACATTCTGATGGATTTCCGATGGAATGAGCTACTCTACTTTACATTTAGAGTTAGTGGCACATTCTGACAGATCCGTTGGTCAATCTCAGCAGGCTCTATTTGTCAGAACACCGGACGTAATTTGTCCCGTATTTTTGTGCATAATCTACTCTCATGCATATGCTTCATTTTTATATGCTTGGAATATCATTGGCAGGACCATACGGAATCTGCTTTTAGGAAGATCAGATTTTAGGAATATATGCTGCTTGTAAAAAGAATGTTCACTGTCTCCTCCACCTCCTTGTGCATGTGTGTGACAATCCTGTGTTGTATTCAGTTAGTGGTGCAGTGAGAAGAAATGTTAAAAAACAAGATTTACTGTTAATAGATTGTTTATAGATTGGCAAATGAATTTTTGTTCTCCCTGCTCCACATTGAATCTTGCATTTTAATGGCTATGTGTCCAACATTTTGTCATTTTTCTTCAAGTATTCATGATTAAATAAAATTTCTGATTCAAAGTTTCTACTAAAATCTATTAAGTAGTTCTTTGAGCCTGCTTGAGGTAATTTTAGGTTTTAATGTATTGTGTGAGGTTATTTTTGTTCAAAAACAATTGTCACCATAAATTAATACTGTCTATCACAATACAAACAGAAAAAAAACATTCCACAGAACTCTGCAGATTTCATTTTAGATTAACGCTGAAAACAACTAAAAAATCAGCAGACTCTGTTTGGGCTGGATCATGAGAAATAATACAACTAAAAGGGTTTGACAAGACAGGGAAGTATTAAATGAAATCATTATTTGCCGAAGAGAATGACACCTAGAATGACAGGCAAGTTGTCTGTCACTCCTCGTTGCCCTGGTTACAGAGACTCAGACACACAGTGTTAAAAAAGTCCATCCGTGACCCTCCAAATACAGATCTGAATGGGAGACAGACCACAAGTGGGTCGATCATGTCAATGGAAATAAGTACATTGGCAAGTACATGTAGAGAATTATCTGAAGCAACATTCAGCAGGGGACTATAAAGTCCAAACAAGGCAGGAGCAGAGGATACAGAGTGGAATTGCTCAATGCACAACACCCTAGACATCCCCCACTTAAGTTGTTTGACACAAATCTGCCATATGCCAGGCTACCCCATCCTTTATGAGAGGGTTTAGAGTGAAGGTTAAAAATGTATCAATCAGTTCTTGCTTCTTCCAAAAAACAGTTTGACAGACTAAACATTTTGCCTGTGTATAATCTGATGTTTTAAATCCTTAATAGAAGTGTGAGTCCATGAGTCCATTTTTGAAAACCTGCAGCTGCCCATACCCATAAAGCTCAGTACCAGAACAGACCTGTTACCTGTCCTTACGTCTTAGTCAAAAACGCACCCGCCTGCACCAGTTATAGTTCCGCTGCGCAACCTGCACACGTGATTAAACACACACAGGCTACAGTCACTCACATTAAGTTCTTGAATTACAAATCCAACAAAGGAAAAGTCTCTTTCACTGGCTGCGCTTGATGCCTGGATTACATTTGTTTTATTATGAAAAATAAAAGATATATTTTTGTTCTCACCCACTAACAGCCCACATGTGGTTCAGTTTTACCTGTGCTTGTACCTGTGAATTTATAAATATATACATGTTTTTACAAATTTCCAGTTGTTAAGACACCTTTGATGGAGCTGGTCTGAGGGACAAAGTAATGTCATTACTTTTGCTATGGACTAATTTTTAAAATTATGATGACCAATTGATTACTTTGTTTAAATAACTTGCCCACCATTGATCAACAATTACAGTGCATGAACACAGTGTTGACAGTTTATTAATGAGGTAGTAGCAGCAGATCCTGATGTTGATAATAACATCAATTTTAATAATGCTTTTGTAGATACTCAGATGAGTCAAGTTAAAATCCACAAAACTAAACTAAAACACAACACAAACATAAAGTCACAGTAGAGTAGAGCTAACTTTTTTTTCTGTCAAGATCACAAAGAGCATTTTGGCAGCAGAGCATAAAAACAGGACAGACAAGATCAAACACAACAACCTGCACTCAGTAAGAACACACAGGTCTATTTTTAATGGTGGGAATTTTGACTTGTCATGCTAGGAGAAGAACAGGTATAACTTATCATGGGGTGCCATTTGTAAAGTGGCTCAAACTGAAATTAACAGTAGTTTGTTTTCTAACTCGCGTATCATATGTTCCTTATGTAAGCTATATGAAACTAGCTAACGTTAGCCCAGTAGAGATTTGAGGGAAGCCTGACATTTACAAAATATTAGCAACATTTTCTTTTGTGTGTTGTAACGTTACGGTGTCCAGTGGTCAAAAATGAAAAACAAATGTGCTATGCGTGAAGTAGGGCCTACATTGATGCTAGTAGCAAATCTCTACCAGTCACCAGGTGACTCGAGTCACATGACTTGACTCAAGCCCAACTCCAGTCGCAAATTTGAGGACTTGAGACTTTCATAACTAACAAAGACTTGACTTTGACTTGGTATTCATGACTTGAGACTTGACTTTGATTTGAAACAGATGATGTATCTTTCTAGACATTGAGAAGTAACATTTTGTTTTTAAAATATCATGACGCATATGTCGCAGTGGGGGAGGATCCGCTGGCTGATATTCGTGTCCACGTCATGAGAGCTCTGTCCTCCTGCCCGCAGCTCTCCTCGGAGGAATGATACAGCTGCAACATGAGCTTTTATTTGATTCTATCTACGTGATACATGTGAGTTAAGTTTTCAGCAGCTCAATCAGTATGCTCAGGTTCTCCTCTTATTTGTACTTGGTTTTGATACTGCCACAGTGCGTAATCACCGTTCCTGCCTGCTGTCTCAACATAAGTTCACTATCTGTGAGTGTGTGTATGTGTGCTTGCTGTGCGCATCCACATGCCATAAGATAGTTTTGCCAGTGACTGCTTTTGGCCTCCCGTTCCTGCTAGGCTGACATCTGGAATTTTAACAATGCACCATTATCTCACCTGCTATGTCAAAGCAGCAGGTGTGTCATGTGAACTGAGTGTCTTTCACCCTGACCAGAGCGCTTGGAGCAGGAGGGGAGGTATTTAAATCCTTAAAAACTCTAGTAAAAGTAACTAATACCAGCATGTAAAAATACTCCATTACAAGTGAAATTCCTGCATTTAAAATGTTACTTAAAAAAAAGTATGTAAGTATAATCAGGAAATTGTACTTAAAGTATTACAAATAAAAGTAGCCTACTGTAAAAACATCCCATGTGATTGTTGTAGTCCTCTACAACATCATCATCATGAGATGATTCTGACTCATGCATTAATGTAAAGGCAGGATTTTACTGTTGGCGTTGGCTAAAGTGGAGCTCATTTTGAACTTTTAACTGATGATTAAACTGCTGATAATTTTCTCCAGTAGATAGATAGATAGATAGATAGGTAGTACTTTATTGATCCCAAACTGGGAAATTCTTTAAA